CTTCGAGGGTGATGGATGAATTTAATACCTGAGATAAGTGTACGGGTTTTTATAGGCGCAGTCTAGAAACTTTCCGATCGCACCTCGTATATAAGAACTGTGACAAATTAACTGGCTTCACGTATATCATTCAAGCAATTCGACTCTCAATTTTCAGTTGGCATGCATGCAAATATACAGAGTGGCCAGAAAGTCCCTTTGCCCGCCCTCCATTCTCCGCTCATTGTTTGATCAGTTTCCATATTCTTTCAGAAAATTTCTTCCACGCTGAATTCCGAATAGCATAGGAACAGTCCCTGGTGGCTGCTTTTGAATCTTGCTGAGAAATGTTTTAAAATGCCCTAGAGCCGCGCTTCTCAACCTATGGTACGCGAACTAATTAAGAAAATCAAAAGATAATATTAACATAAATAAGTTTTCCCTGAACGCATTTGGTTAGTGGTAAATTTGGTGTGTTAAATTAGAATCTGTGGTACGCCAACGAAAAATGGCGAGAACCTCTGCCCTAGAGCCAAGTATCTCATGTTGTCAAGTCTGGGTGGTCATGCCATATCAAATCCCCGTCCACTGAATGTGTTATCGAGATATTCTCGAACTGAGAAAGCACAACGTGACGCTGGACCACCTTCCTGAAGAATGCGTGTTGATGCCAGACCCCTATATACGTACATTTTTTTTCTGTTGCTCACTCAACCACGTAATGGACTGTTTCTTAACCAGCTCACTGTATTTAATCAGAGTGGACTATGTAGAAGTAGTTACCAACGGAGAAGTGTAGTTCAACTCAACTACAGCCTACTGAACGAGGAAAGCTGCTTAAGACACAGTCTATCACAAACCACCTTAAGATTACCATTTAAGGTCGAAATATGTAGTGCAGTCTTAATAAACAGTGAAACTATAATAAAAACATTGACGGACTGTCAACCTAACGCATATTAGCACGTTACATTTTTAAAATGCAATTAGAATTCGTAATAAACACACATAGGGTCATCATCAATAGTTTAATTCAACACGTGTTGTTTTGTTTTCTTATGCCTGCATTCTTGTAGTGCAAGAATTTATATGTAGATCCATATTTACGGGATTTTTCGTGAAGCAAAATTTTGTGGTGTGCTGTCATGTCTGACAAATCAGGGTGTGTCATGGGTGTTCAAAATTTGCAGAGCATTGTTCTGTTCACACTGCTTAATGTTACCTTATTAAATAAAAATATGAACAGCACTTCATAAAAAAAATTGCTGCTTTACATTTGCTATCACTTCCCTTTTGTGTACTCACATTCATTACCTTAATTTGTAGATGTGATACACATACAGAAGGCCAAGGAAGGAACTAAAGGCCTCCCAAAGTCCCGTTCGACTCTAATTCAACAAAACAGTGATGCTAGCTTTGCTACACTGCAAATTCTGAGATGTTTTCATTCACCTTACCTGGGTTATGCTTTTCATGTAACGTATGATTCTGCTGTGGCCCTTGAGCACGCAATCTGGTGATGGCTAGTATAATGCACATGTATCCATGGATACAGAACAGTTACCTGGAGTGCTCAATAATTCACATCCTACAACAGACTTTCCTTTCTTCTCGCATTACCATTGCCATAACTAAACTACCAAAAATAGATACATCAAATTCAGGTGCCAGTTGTTACTAAACACATTCACTTGGGTCAGGCTTCAATTATAGCTTACAACAGAAAGTGCATTAAACCAACAACACAGAACAGAGATATTATTGAGAAGTAAAGACACTGTGTCCTTTATGGATCCCAGAGACTCAACACCATCTTCACAAGAAGGTGTTCAGTCCCTGCTTGCTCTGCTGACACAGATTAACCGGTCCTTCTGTCTTACCTAGACTACAGTCTAGTTTGACAAACTAAACTTTAAGCACAAAATATCCTACATCTCAGACAATAAACATCCTTTGGAATGTCATATTCTCAAGCACCATTCTTTCATTTCCAGCCCTATCCATCTTTCATAAACATGATCCCATGGATTCTCCTGTGGTTAGAATAACACCCAATTCACATTTTGTCAGTTGCCACACTGTACATGTAGCTTGTTCTGCCCTTCATTTGCACATGTTTATGTACTATTTTATGCAACATTTAAATAATCACACTTCTCTAGCACTATTCTTCAAAGATACAAACAGGTCTGTCCTGGCAAAAGCTATTTTATACTCTTTTGTAATAAGTTTCTGAATTTTAAATCACCACTTTCAAAACAAGTCACCATTGCAACAAAACATGAAATGCATATGCTCTCTGTTGTAATTTGGATTGGTGACAAAATTAGTAGTCATACATCTAAACAAAATGGCAATACTGTGTTCTTTATTCTCAGTAACACCACTACTCATGATATTAATTTCCAGTAACATTAATTTATATTATATCATGTTCTAAGCCAAAAGATGGAAATCACTGTTGAGATCAAGATTTCTCGTAAGGTGGGAATTCAGTAGTATAAAGTTTATGCTTTACTCAAAGGAAAAGTATAGGCATAAAATTCCCACACTGATGGTTCAGGTTGACAAATTACAAAGGTATTTTTTATTTATGTGAATTATGGGCCTGATAGCATTTTGTAGATCCTCTCAGGTGTAATACATTATGAAAATAATGGGCAAACTTTGAAAGTTCCTATTCACATAGCCCCCTTAAAATGAACACACATCGTACATCTCATAAAATGTCAACAAGTGCTGGCAGAGGTCATTAACACAGAGCGAATACCAAACGAGTTGTGCTGTTCGAGAAAAATTATTGGTTTAAATTGTTTCAATTAAACAAATACGGTTATGATCATAACGGTTACAATATTTACCACCAAATTAAAAACTAAAATACACTGTTGTAAATCTACATATATAAACTACATATATTTAGTTCAACCTAAATTACTTACCTTGATTTTCAAGAAGTAGGTTACTGTAATGTAGTACCTTGAAGAAAAATAGTATATTTTATAATATGCAGAAACAAATAGGAAATAAACAGCTGCCTCCAATGACACAAACAATAACTACTCTACGCATCTAACTCGAACACAGCGAAAGAACGAAGAAGAATACGTAGGATTAACTACTGAACTTTCTCCTTCCGTACAACGCACACATGTAATAGCGCCATTACTATATAGCGTATGAAGAACTTTGATATGCTACCAGCGCACTACTGTGCATTGCGGAATTATTTATAACTAGCATTACCGCACTATTGTAAATGCCACTGATGACACAATCTATAACGTAATTATGTATCAGTGTGGATGACTTGCAACTGTTATTATATTGGTGTTGTCATGTAGAAGTTTACTAACGTTTCAGAGGTCGTTGCCGCCGTGTCTCATCAGGTCGATGAGACACTGGTAAACTTCTACCAGACTACACTGTGCTTGCTACAACTCAGAAAACATCCATCTTCACATTCACCACCATGGGCCTCAAATCTTACTGGCATGGACAATTTTCATGATATTGCACATTCACTTTTAAAGGCTGTCAAGATTGTGCCTTGCTGCTCACCTCAAACATAAATATTCACTGCTATAATGATAAAGTTTTCAGGAAATTTTGAAAAAGTAAACAACTGGGAGAGACAACTCTGAAAAAAGTAACTGCTTTCTACTATGACAATTAGGAATAGAGGTGTCAAAAATACACAACAGTTTCACAGAAAAAATTAACAAAAAAGTAATGATCCTCCTGAAAGAACAACAGGAGGCAATTATTGAATTCTGGTTTAAAAAATTAGGCACAATGGTATCGAAAAAACTAATATACTAGCACATTTATTCCAAATGGTGTGCCATAGAGAAAAAGGTAAATACAAAAAATGTCACTCTTGGAAAGCGAACCCTGAATTTTTTTTACTTTTGCCTATTTAGAAAAAAAGGCTCAAAGTTGTCCAAATCTTATACAATGGCAATTTGTATGAAAAATTATACACACAAAAAATGTTCATCTTGGTGAGACAACACCAGAAAGAGTAAAAGTAAAGTAAAGTTTGTCCCACTATACGCCATGAAGGCATTTGGGGTGAGTGGACGTATAGCTCCTCTCTTCCTTGACCTCGGCACTAGATGGGGGTGAGTGGTCAGCATCACGCCCCGGCCGGCTTTACCCCCGGGAAAGGACCCCCGGTACCCATTGTAGAGGAGGCTGGGTGGGCCCCAGAGCTGGTCTGGATGCAGACGCTAGAGGAAAAAATCCTCTGCCCCCGTCGGGGATCGAACCTCAGTCGTCCAGCCTGTAGCTAATCAATATACTGACTGAGCTATCCCGGCTCATACACCAGAAAGAGTACTGATTTTAAAGTTTGGAAATAGAGCACAGATATGTCCAAAACTATTGCAACACAGTGAATTTCTCTTGACAGCATATACTATTATTTATTTTATTTAGTGTTCTGTCTGACGACAGGTCCATATGAACAGGATCCATCTATCCTTTTCTCGGACTGGGACCTGTTCATATACGTTCTTGGCAGATGATCCAGAAGTGGTTTGCCATTGCCTTCTTCTGTGTGTGAATGGAGTAATTGTTGGGATGCAACGGAGGAAAACTCCGTGTTGCCTAGACCACGGCCTTGCCATATTACCTCAAAACAATGTCTGAATAAGTAATCTTGTCATCAAACGACAGCAACAGTGGAGTAAATGACAGAAACACGCTCTAAATTCCCCATGCCTAGGTTATCAGATATTAAGATATCTGCTCTTCAGGTCATCTGTTCCAGTCTGAGAAATATAATCAGACGACATCAAGCGCTCATAGATAATACTTCTCCGAATAAGTGCAAGTACAAAAACGCTTAGGTGTGGTGCAAAAAATTGCAAACACATATACTAGGAGGAAGAAATAAATATATAAGAAAACATTATTTTTGTAAAAAACAACTCACAGAAAATTATTGATTTGTTCAATTCTAGAAATTAGGCACTGGGTGTCCAAAATATATAAACTATGTGATTCTCCCAAATGACACACTGTAGAAAGAATTATGATTACAAAGAACCCCTCTTGCAGAGGCAAGCCCAGGAAAATTACACTTATGCCATTTCAAGGATCAGGTGCAGAATGCGTCATTGAAAAATTATTAAAAAAAACTCAGAGTATCACAGAAAAAATGTTAAATTTCCCACATTATGGAGGTTTTAATTTCAAACAACTCAAAATACGTTTCAATTCATTTCAGAAAAGAAAAGTGCAATTAGGATTTCCTGAGCAGGATTCAATGGGTATTGATAATTTTTTCCATATTATGCTTGTTCATTAAATAATAAATGCATCATCAATATTAAAATTTCTTATAGTCTCATGTGAATTTCCCATTTTGTATCCATAATATGCTGATTAAACTTCATAAACTATGTTGCTCTGTATCAAACATAGCCTAATACTAGCGTACTTCAATGTCACTGTCACTGTCAGTTTTTCTGCTGCCGCAAGGTACTTATGAAAATAACAGTACAACTGTAAACCACTTCTGACATTAAAAATCTACTCAAAAGCTATACCACTCGTTCCGTAATATTCTTGTCAGTGTATCCCTTTAACTTAATACACCATGTGTTGTATTCCCTGTTTGTGAGACATCTATAAATGACTCAAAAACCTTTTTATTCATGATAATTTGAATAGAATATTTCCCTCGAACAATATAAATGCATCCTCCTCACTTCCTGAACATGGACTAACAACTCAGCCTGTCTTTCTACAAAAATAATAAGATATTATCTATTCCAGAACGAGCCATGCCTCTTCATTTCACTTTCAAGGACTAGTAAGATAGTACTCCTGACAGTGAGTGCAACATAAGATTACACAGATGTGACAAACAGTATTACTAGTTTCAGCACATCATTCAGTAACACAGATGTTTCAACCTTTATTTGATACACAAGATAGAAAAAGATAGAAAGCCACCACCAAAACTGAGAAAGTACCACATTTCTGGCACAAATTTAGGTAAACAGAATAATTATTAATACTTCTAGGGCAATGTAATTAAGCTCCTTATAATGAATAATTTGCTTGACAATTCCATTAAAACTGTTTATAAAATGTTACATATGTCTTATACCATAATATCATACACAATTAAAAATAAATATTTAATAATAGAATAATAACCATGTATACAAACAATTCAAAACAGTATAAATCTGATATTTTATTTGGTGGTTACTGGTTACTACAGTACCTCAAATACCATAATCTATATACATACATCCAAACTTTGGTTTTGGTATTCCTCAGTACTTTTACATCAGTGTTTTAAGACTTTATAGACAGATATTGATGGAACGCAAAGATTGACAATAATTATTTCACAGAGCTCTACATTACGAAACAGCATACTAAGACATTAATGAAACAAACTACGAGTGCTGAGACATCTTTCATACAGTACAGGGCAACCTGGTTGCTCACTTAGTAATGCTTTGTGTTACTTATCATGGTACATATGAATGACAGTATTTTATGAAATTGTTGGGAATATGATTTCATGACCAGTGCAAACAGAGTTTCTCAAATGATAAAATTCTAAACACAGCTGTCTTACATGAAGCAAAACAAAATATGGGAGAATGTCATGTGACATACGTTCTACTGAAATTGCCTCCTCCGTGCAGCACGTTGTTTGTCAAACCTCAACTCCATCTCTTCCAACACTTTGGGCGTGTAACGTACAACGAGCTTCACTGAGCCCTGTGCTTGTTTTAGCAATTCCACTGCCTTCTCGTGGTTCTCACCCTCCACTGACTGGCAACAAAAATAAAATAAAAATAAATATTCACATTACAAAATAATTACAAACCTGAATCTGGTTAACAGTAATCTGTCAGCACTTTACAGTATTTTTTTATACAATGATACCCCCTTTTCCCCCTCTTACTGGAAGAATTTATCATGTATTAAATGAAGTTATATATTTTTATTTCAACCTGCAAATATACCTCTAGATAGCTAAGTGACAGTTCTGCAGCTACTTAAAAATAAGCTACTTCATCACAATTCGGAGCCCACAACAATTTAACTTGATATTTAGTGTTAACTGACTATCAAACACAAAACTGGAACACTTTGGGTACTTTGTATGTGCTGTGATTACTGGCAGGACAGGTTTTCATTTATGTCATATATGTCCAAGTTCTCGTAGAACTTCCTCGCCATCAACCAATCTTGACAGTAAAACTTACACATAGCTCATGCTTGGAACCTCATGCAGTCTGCTACTAGCTACAGACTTTTCTAACTGCAAATCAGTATTTTGATTGACAGTGTGGAGAAGGATGTTAATTCAGCCAATCACAGTGTTAAATTCATATATATATGTGCTCACACTAACTACCCATTCACAAGTAACAAACTGGCCTAACCTGTCAAAAGTTCAGATTTTTGTGTCAAATGAAGCGATGATTAATGAATTTGAAAGGATGTGGAAAGAAGTAGGCCTGGCTGAATTTATGGTAAAATACCAGCATTTGCCAGGGGGGGACTATGTAAAACCATGAAGAAACTCAGACAGGATGTCAGATATTTGGACCACGAATTGAACCCAGGACCTCCCATGTATGAAACAGGAGTACTAACCACTTGCCCACAATAAACATATTAAAATGTACTGTAAGAATTTACTGATCAACAATTCTTCAAACGTCCTAGACACTGTGACAGGAAGCAAATGTTGCATAATTTAAGCTAGGAGTATATATTACATCATTTTTTGTTTGTGCCCATCACTTCAAAAGAACCACCTTACTTTTAGCAGAAGTGTATTTTGCTGATAAATATACACCGCTTTTCTATTTTACAGCAGATACTTTCTATAGATGTTACTTGAATAATTTCTTCCTCCTACACACTCACCACACCATTAACAGAAAGCAACTGGTCACCACGCTTCAGGCCACCATGCCGATCTGCTACACCCCCTGGAATAATACGGGAGATGTAGATGGGTGAATTCTGCTCTTTGCCACCCATAACATTGAAACCAAGACCTTCTTCTGTTTTTGGTAACTCCACTACCCGAGGGTGTGCATGCCCCTCACTTGCTGCAAATGCAGCAACCGTAGCCTTGGCAGTAGCAGATGCCCGAATATCCTGTGACCCTTGGATATCAACAGTCTCATACACATGTTCATAAACTTCACGCACTGCATTCAGAAAGTCACTTTGCAGGACTTTTTGAAGAGCTGCCAGTTTTGTAGCAGGCACTTCCCCACCTGTACATGCAGTATTAAATTAAAATTAAATATTTAATACGAAATACTGTCACCCTACACTTCAAACAGCAGTTTTACAAGCATTATATAAATTTAATGTAGCAATAAATGCAATAAGACTTACAATAACAGCTATTTAAATTATAGTGAAAATTACTTACTTTTCTGTAGTTTCTCCAGCAATTCGATCGCTCTTTTCACATCTGTCAAAATAAAAAAAATTCAATTTTATCGAAGCGATGCAACAGCAAACTGTATTAAATGCAAGAAGGAACTTACCACGTGCCAAGGTTAATTGTTCTCCAACAGATGCCATATTTCAACTAGAACCGCAAATATGTCGTTACCGTAGTAGAAGATTAATTATTCTTAACAACAAATCAAACCACAAATACTACGCCCAGACTAATTAATTTGTTTATGTGTAGTGTCATCATTGTGTGATAAGATGGCAGCACAACCAGGTTCTTCCCACCACAGATTAATAATACCTTCCCTATTTTCCAATCGGACAAACACAAGGTATCTCATCTGTTCTCAAGTTATTCTGGTCCATACCTTACAAAATCCGGAAGGAGGCTGTTAACAAGATTATACTTAACTCTCATCATTAACAAGAAGATACTATATAGCCACACTTGTTAATACCATAATAAATAGCAACCTACGAGCCATCTGGTGGCTACAAATAGGATTAACAGAAATTTTAACAAATATACGTCTCTATAGCACCGTCTATTGATGTCATGCAGTGACACCAACTGTGTGCAGCTGAGGTCTCGAAAGTCTGATAGTAGCTCAGCTGGCCAAAAATTCTTGTATGGAATCCAGACATTTACTGAGTTCACAACACACCACTGGAGTCTATTCTGATTCAGATGAATTCAGCCTACGTTCTCATTTCTGCATCCGGTTTAATATTATACTCTGACTTACACTTTGGTTTCCCAAGGGGTCTCTTCGCACATAAATATTGTTTGTATTGCTCAATGCCTGCATGCATACTATATTTCCTCATCTGTCCTATTTGCTCCCTTTCACAATTGGTGAAAAAAATCATTATGTAATTCCCCACATTCTCTGTGTTTCCATCTTGTCTCAGTATTCAACCCAGCACCCTGTTCTGAAGCTCCCCTCAAATCCGTCACAGACAGCAAGCTTTATACCCAAACAAAACATGTATATTTTAATCTTGAGTTTTCATGAAAAAGGTGGAGAAGTATCAAACTACAAGACAGTAGGAGTTTGCCAGTTAGGCCACTTGAAACATTGCAGAAGCTACAACTATAATTGATCACTGTTCCAAGGGTTTGTCCAATGCAAATTCAACTATATGCATTAAGTTAAATGTGAACAATTATATGCTGAACATAGAAAATTCAATTATATGTGGTCTGGCAAACATACTGTAACAATAATAATAATAATCCGTAGCGTAACAGCCCTCCGAGAGCCTAAGCCGACTAGCTGGCTGCTGGCCTCACGTTCACATGCCTAAGCAGAGGTGAACGATCATCACAACCAGGTATAGGGTGACGTGTGGTCAGCAGGATGAACCCCCAGCCATTGCTAGTTTTCATGACCGGATTACGCCACCCATTGTAGCTCCCCAATTTCCTCACGATGCTGGGTTGGCACCGGTCCCATACACCAGTCGAAAATCTCATGAGAAATTTTTTTCCCCAAGACCTGAACCAGCGCGCATTCCGTATCACCAGTCCGAAGTATGATGCCTCAGACTGCGCTGCTACAGCGCGGGACTAGCAAACACATTGTAATAGCATATAAAAATACCATTGTGGTTTAAAAAGCTGCAGATGGCTTAGCTTTCACGTATGTATTTGTAATAACAAATTTAGTTTGTTTATTCAGCATATGTAAGTGTAAATATTCAGCTCAAATATCATCCTACAGTATCTTCTTCCAGCATATTTCATCCTCTCTTCTTCTCACAAACTTCATGTAATCCATGGTTTCAATCTTATGTTGTTGCCATGTTAACCTGTGTCACTAATTCTTACCTGCTAACAGTAAAATATATAGCAAAGTTTCATCCTGGCACCTACAACCACTTTATTTGTCCTAGTTGAAGCCTGGTCAAGACAGAACATGAACGAAAGCATTTATGCGTTCACACAGACTTTTTTCTGCATTAATTCTACACCAACATCCACACCAGCCCTTAAAAGTGTTTCTGTGTTCACTTTTATAGTATTTATATTATTGACCAACAGATTAGTATCATCAGTACAGACCAGACCATTCTGAGTAGTAAATGTATTGGACACATTTTTACCTGCATGAATTTTGCTAATGATTTCACTTAAACATGTTTTAATTAGCCTGACTGCCTTCTTAGGTACAACTTCAAGGAAAATATTGTAAAGATTGTCTCATTTAACTTGGTCATAGGCTATAAACAGTTGATGGACTGTCCCATAGCACTTCCACTTTTTCTCTAGTATTTGGTGAATGTAGAAAATTTGATCAGTTGCAGAGCTGTTTTGATGGAACCCACAATGATAATCCCCAATAATTTCACTGGCATATGCAGTCAGCCTTGCCAGAAGAATGTTGGATAAAATTTTGTACGCAAAAGAAGGAAATTCCTTCATAATTATTAAACCAGTCTTATCACCCATTTCACGAACTACTACAATAGATTAGTTCTAATGCTGTGGAATTTCCTCCTTATTCCATATAGAGCAAATAAGTTTGTATACCTTGGAACACAACATTTCACCTCTGCATTGATCAGTTCGGCCCGAATCTGATCAATACCTGGGGATTTATAATTTTCAACTTCTCGATAGCAGTCTCCACTTTGATAAGGTTAGGTTCTGGCACTAACGACTCAGCTGCACGTACATCTATCTGCGCAATGTCATGAACCCCATAAACATTTAACACCTGGTTAAAGAAATGTTTCTCCCCACTAAATGGTACCTGCACCTTGTCGTGGTGGTGGGGCTTGAGTATCTCAGTGATCCCAAGAGCTATGCTGGCAGTAGCTTAGCTACTGGTAGGGCCTCCCTAGCCAGATTGGTCGAGGGGGAGAGGTCAGACTAAGACAGGTACCCTGGTCCTCCAGGTTGGGGGTTGGTCACAAGGCTAACAACCTTACATCGTAAAAAGGAAGATGTTTCAAAGCCTCGGACAGACAGACCTAACAGAGGACTGAGTGGAAGAGGAAAATTGAGGAGGCCATGGACTGAATACGGACTGGAGAGCCATAGAAGATGAAGAAGTGTTTCTGCCAAGTTCCACACATGGAATCACCAGGATTCTTTGTGGTCAAGCAAGACTGTTTCTGCTTCAAATGGCGTTATTCTTTGACGTCAGTCCACTTCCACCCAATACCCTATGCACCTATTGATGATTAGCAGGTGGGTATTTGTTCTACACCAGGGCTGCGTCTGCGTAAGTCACACGTATGTCTGTGTTCTCCCTTAACCTCGCTGAGTACTGTCCTTTCAATTTTGAGGACACTATCCGGGACAAATAAAGCGCCTAAGCATTCGTACTTCTACTTCAAAAACTATTGTTAATCCTACTGACGGTTCATATTTATAAATCTTATGGGATGAAATGTTTCTACCTATTCAAAATCCTGTGGATATCTGTAAGCAGATAACCATTGTCACCTTTGATATTAACTCTATGTTGGTAACCCTTCTTAAATTCATTTTGCCTCTGTATAAATCTCTAATACAGCAAAACCCCTCAAGTTGGACACTCCTATATCCTGGACACCCCTTTATATTGGACACTTTTAATTGGAACCTGCGAATATCCTATAATTTTACATGTCCACAATACCCTACATCTTGGACGCGCCTTTTGTTATAAGTTGGACAGGTTCATGCACTTAACTTTGATGCTTTTCAGGGAAACGTTTTCAGTTACACATTTTATTATTTTGAATTTCTGACTGATGAATGCCTCCTCTCTGGAGGATTATCTTATGGACATTGAACCCATCATTGGAATGCATTGCAAGTGTTTAACTATTCTTTTGCTGAACCCTTAACTGGACTACAGTTTTGCAGAAGACGGTTTTAACTCCGTCAGTACTGTGCTTGCATTTGAGTTCAGACTGTGTTAACAGAAATGGAATTTTTCCTTTTGCGATAGGTAAGCGAAAATTGGTGGAATTAACTTTAGAAAATGTTTTGAGGCTGGGGTGTAATTTGCAATGCATGGGAGTGGGCTTCAAAAGATTATTATTAATACCCCTCTATCTTGGACACCTCTTTAAGTTGGACACATTTTCGTGGAACCCCAAGTGTCCAACTTAGAGAGGTTTTACTGTATTTTTGTTTCTGTAATTAGTTTCAAGTTCATAACAAAACATCAACAAATGTATTTTAATGTCTGCATATAATAAAAAAGTAAAAGTAAAGCAGTCCCACTAGATGCCATGTAGGTGCTTGGTGGGAAAGGAGGTATAGTTCCTAATCATTCTTGATCTCAGCACTAGGTGGGGGTGTGTGTTCAGCATCACGCCCTGGTACCCATTGGATATTGAGGCTGGGTGGGCCCCAGAACCTGCCTAGATCCCAAGGCTGCAGGAAAAAATCCTCTGCTCCCCGTCGGGGATCGTACCCCGGTTGTCCACTATGTAACCAGTCACTACACTGACCGAGAAACATCGGCTCATGTTTGCATGTAATATGAAATCAAATATAACAACATGACATTCAACTTAAAAATCTATATTTGAAACCTGTTGTATCTTACAGACATACACTATACCTGTACATACACCCAGTCTTACTCATACTACTATATACTAATACAGCTTTGATAATGGCAGAAGAAACTGTTCAAATAGTACACAGATGAAAGTAGTGAGGACCACTTATTTTACCGAAAGGATAGACAAGCATAAGGACTGGAACTCTGGTGTATTGTGTAGAAGTTGGCAACACACATGAAACCAGGGTTTGGATTCATGCAGTTACAAGCATTGAAATTGAATAAAATTAATCAAAGAACACAATATATTATTTGTGGATTGGAAAGAATCAATTACAACAGGAAATAAATTTTAGAATGGGATTACACTGTTTTTTAGCCATTGTCAACTGCTTGGTGTTCAGTTCTGCCATAAAGTTGTTCAGTTGTGTACACTAAATAAATACAAAATTACAAGACTGCAAACAACATTGTCTCATTAGTATGTTACAAAATGGATTTGTCAACTATTTCAAGAATAACTTTAAGCTATAGAACAGGGTTTCTGAGTTTACAATTATTTTCTGAATATATAATAAGTCATACCATTGTTTACAATTACAGATGAAAATAGCATGTAGTAAATTTAATACACAAACTACTTCGCATCATAGACTCAGACATTTGGTGACATAACTGAGCCAGCACTGACAAAAACAATGCAGCGCATATTAAAAAAGAAGGGCCTGTTACTTCAGTTGAGCATAGCATGCCTGTCATAGATGTTACGCCGCTGCTCCTGCACTTGTCTCTTCCACTTGTCCTGTTGATGACCAACCCTGTTCAGAACATTTCCTCTGACACCCATTGCATGAGACGATACTCCTCCAGCACTTGTGCTAGTTTCATCCTGAAAATAAAATGTTCATTACTGTAATATTAACCTAACTTAACACCTCAATAATGGGTGACAAGCAATGTTTCAGTGCCTCCAAATTCCACTTCCGGGCACATTACAATTCAAATGTAAATTTGTCCAGATGCTAAATTAAGCACCATGAAAATGAAGAATACATCCGGGGGAGTGAACACATAGTTAAAGGCATTCTCGATCTCGGCAGTAGACTGAAGCGTGCAGAAAGCTTCACACTCTATAGCTGATTTACCCCATGGGAAATGACAAAAAGTTTACAGACCAATGTGTCCGCCAATGTTCACGTGTTTTCTCTGTGTAGGCCACAGACAAATATGCCCACTGCTGAATGCAAACAATGCCCGAGGTTGCAAATGACTGATCAAGAAGACTATTTACTGTTTATGACAGAGGTCAGTCACATATGTAGTTCCCATGCACCAAAAAACACGTGATTTACAAGGCTTGAGATCCATCTACGCACATTAGATCAACAAGGATTCAAGTCCACTAAATGTTTCTACTAACTTTATAACAGATGGTCATATGCAATCATATTCCAATCTCATTTCAGTTGATATATTCATGAAAAGACCAGCGAGATGCAAACTAAGATACGTCATCCACATATATGAATGAAAGAACTCTCACAAAATACACAGAAGACGCATGTCTTATACTGTATATGGACTCCTTGATCCCTGATGTCCTCAAAGAGATGCGCTGTTGTGGCAGCCATATGAAAAGATGACCTAACTGGAAAGGTATGGCACGTGACTGGCTATAAGAAAGTAACACCATTCTAATATGACAGGAACAGTGGTTTTGCGACATATTTCTTCTGTCCAGCCATACAACGTACTGATATGAACAATGTTACGTTGATATGCATATTATTACATGCTTTAGGTACTTAACAACAACAAAAGTTTGTGAGGACACAGCAACCAAATGAGTGAAACATGTTACAGTGTTTCTTAATCTTAAAACATGTCCGTACTCAAGTAGCCTGGATAAAACAAATTATGCACAATTTTGCAATACTGTTATGTACATGTTAATGACTTCAACATTCTTTTACATTTTATATTTTTATTAATGATAGTCTTGGAGATAGTTCTAATTTTATAAAAAGGATAGCTGTTTCATTACATGCCAGCAATTTAAACTGGTTGCAAAATGCAGTGTAATATTTACATGACAGATACAAAAGGGCCACTTGTATGCAGAAAAGTGATTACTATAAGACAATCATTTGCAGTTAACCAACACATCTGGAGACCTCCTCCATCCAAAACCTGAAGACGTGCCACACTATATGTGAATATAAGCTGTGTAAGCATATGAACCAAACATGACTTTTAAACGAAAATAAGAATAAATAAAATGTCATTTATACACTGCATCAACATTTTTAAATTAGTTTTCCCTCAAGAACCAGTCACATTAAAAAAAGATGACATTCAAAAGGCATTAATTATAGCAATTCCATGACTACCAATCACATTTTACATACTGTTGCACATTCATTGCCTGCCATTCTCATAAAACTCTATTTGGAATACAGTAGTCACATGACATCCCTGGATCATAAGAAAAACAGATGAAGTTGCACAAACTTCTGCTATTATCAGAACAGTATTGGTTCATGTGACAAACCAACAAACTACTGACCAACTTCGTTAAGTGAAGGTTAACGATTCCGGAGCACAGAGCATGCCTCTCCCCCACCCCCATCTCAAACAATGACATAGTTCACCCTGTGAATTTCGTGTGCACAGATCACATAATAAATGTGTGGGTGACAACCACTAAAGAGAGAGACAGAGACTGAAAGAAACTTTTGTTCACCAACCTGCACCATTATTTATCAGAATAAAATGGTCTGTATATCAAATCTAAAACTTCTTGACGATGGTGAAGAGTCAATTGAATAAATATTTCCTTGGATATTATCCATTGTCTAGTAAATATAAAACGTAAAACAACGTTTCGGAGATGGGACTCTATCTCTGTCTTCAGGTTCCTACACAGTTGGGCCCACTAGATAGAGCTAATCCCTGAAGACGGAGATTAGAGTCCCATCTCCGAAACGTCGTTTTACGTTTTATATTTACTAGACGATGGATAATATCCAAGGAAATTTTTATTCAAAATGGTCTGTGTTACAAACCACTGTTCATGTTCATTAGATCGAGGGTATTTCTTTTTAATTCAGAGTATGATCAACAATCTTTATGCTCCTCCACTTGCACCAGCACAGGGTTTCGTTAACCCCCTCTAACCGACTATTGCTGAGGGTAAGCATCTTTCCTGTTCAAAGGCAACAATTCCACTGCCAAAACATCAATAATGACGTGACCTCCAAAACAAAATAATTTTGCCTCTCAATATTTCAAACGGTTTCATTCACCTATTCTTCTGTGAAACAACTGTTCATATGTTTATTACTACTACTGCAATATCTGCATTGATTCTCTGTATAATTAAGCATGACCTTGAAATCAATTGTGATACAGACTGATTATCTCGTCATTAAAAAGAATATTCTGATCGCATATTGCACCCCAGATTTAGAGGATGCAGATTTGGAGAAAATGTGGCTTATATCCACATGTAAATAAATTCTTAAAACAATATCACATACCTCTTCATTGGTGTGTTCCTGGTAGTTACCTTTCACTCTTTTATTCAACAATGGATCCAAACAGATGAGGAAGAGCATATAGATCACCAACAGAGAGATAATCCAGATTACAATGATAACAACAACCTGAAAATTAAACAGTGTTCATAATCGTGAGCAGCGGCCTAGCAACTACCGTGACCTTGACTCTAGATCACAAGGAGGTTGTGAGAATCTATTAAGTGGGGGAAAAAAAAAGCTGCTGATATTTTAGTACCATAGTACCTTATTGGTACTGGGTTGCTTCCAAAATGGGACACCCTACATAAACTGCATGCACTTAATTATTTGTAACATGCAAGTAGAAGCATAAGTCAGGATACTCTATTCAAAACTACACTGTCCTCTTAACACCAATTTCTGATAAATAAGGTACATCAAAGTGACAATTAACATTAAAAATTCATAATGTTTTTTAATAATAGTGGAAACTACGTAAGGTGGATTTCAATGCCCTCCAGTTCTCTTTCTTTTCTTCTCCTTCTTCTGGTGAATGCATCACGTGGATACTATGCATCCTCTGACAAAGACTGCAACATTTCAATCTTCTTGTGGCAGTGAAGGGAGAAGAAAGGAAATTAATAAATGTATCCTAACACGTGTGCAAAATCAGAAGAAAATGTGTAAAGTGACTAAACACTTACTAAGCACTCCACATGCAAGAAATGGCTTAAATGAAGATGGGAACCAGCACCCTATGTTTAAGAAGTTTTTGAGTGACTATGAAAATGAAGCCACTAAACAAAAGAATAAACTGTGACCAAGTCTAGTGAAATTAACCTCTTTCTCAGTGAAATTGGAAGTGTTGATAAAAACTAAAAACCTAGTGGGCTTAAAGATTACTGTGGATTTTGCATGGGAGATAAGCATGATGAGGGACGGTAGGAAAAGTTGATGATGATGTGGCAGGTCTATTTATAGACTACTGTAGTCTATTGTAAAGACTGAAGGTGAATAGAACAGTTAAGGATCATGGGTTTGCATTTATGCCATATCTAATTTTTGTTATCTTCTTTTCGCCAAAATACATATATCTAGAGATGTTGGGAAGCAGACTGGAAGGTCTCAGCCAAGTGAGAGACCTGAACTCTAATATTTTGTAAGCTTTACTTTTCTCCCATTGTAGTACTAACAGTAAGATTCTCATACATGTTCAAGATACACACCTTTATGATTGTTGTGTTTCTGCTTTCATATTTACATTCACATCTGGGGCAGAACTCTTGCTCTTTTCCTTTTATATCATCCCCTACTCTTGGAAGAATTACAGTGTCACAGTTACTGTAAAGAAAACAGAAAACAAAATAAATCTGCTCTCCACGCAACACGACATAGTTTCTGGCGTAACTTGTAAACTGGCCTAAATAACATTGATTTCTGAAAGGTAGTAGACAGTATCCCTGTTCATATTTGGGAGGTTTCCTGATGATGATGGCTGCCACAATACAGGTATTCATGATTCTACTGTTTCCTAAGATAAACGGTGACATTACCTTAGAAAAAAGGTTCCCAAAGTGTGGGGGTCTGGGGGGCATGTTGTTTGTATGAAAAACATTTTATCCTTTGCTTGGTTGAGGCAGTTTAGTTGTCTTACAGTGCTGCATACTCATAGCTAAATTTTATGTCAAATCTGTTTGCTTGCACTTGTTCTGGAAGGGGGGGCGTGAAATTTATGAAATGTTTTAAGGGGGCGCAAGGTATAAAAGTTTGGGAACCTCTGTCTTAGAACATTTCACAACTACTCATTCATACCAAATCATTTTGGGACTACATACCTACGCAGTTTGACAAGGCATCATTAAATGAACCAACAGGCAAAAAGTTTTTTTTTAAAGAGCACACATCAGAGTGTTGAACACTGTACACTTGAAACTTAATTGCCAGTGTTATTAGTATAAAGCCATAAGAACATCTATAGTAAAGCAGCATCAAATGCAACATGGCAGAATAATTACGACTGATGATTACGTTGATGGGAGGGGTCATGGTCTATTACAAGGTACCATTACTATCATAGCATTTACCACAAAGGAATGAGAAAAACCATGAAAAGCTCGGTAAAAACTGGTAGTCGCTCATCAGGATTCAAACTGAGTACCTTCAGACTGTGAGCTTTACTAACCAACACACAAGCCATTTAAAATAAAACTGGTTATGTAATTAATTTCTTAATATCAGATTAGTACTTTTACCACCCCTGGCATCAAGGCAAGATGAGCCAAGGGGTAACAGTATAGTTCCAAGATGGGAAGTTTCAAATTACAGAGCACTATTGTAAGAAATTATTTAATCTGTATCATTCTACAAAACAAGTCAAATACAATCAATTTCTTACCACTTATTGGGAGGTACATTTCCAATGTAGAGTTTCCGATTAGATTGTGTTCCATTTACTACAGAAGGATTTGGACACACACATTTGCATCTTACATCTTCATAGGACTGAGCCTGAATATAAACACAACACCGGTTAAAAGCATTCTAGTAGTAGAATACGAATATTTGCAAATGAAAAATCAAAATATAGATAAGGTGCAGAGGTACCAGTACAAACTATTGTAAACTTTTCTCCATCCTCAGCACTAACTTACACAACCATCAGATTTACTACATGGAAGAAAGCAACAAACCTAACATAAAACTTTACGATCTACCCAGCCCTTATCTGACCTAAAATAAATATGGAGTAGTGTGTGTTTTAATTGTCAGGGTAAAGCTTCAGAAGAGGGTAGAGGTGATCTTACGTTGCACCACAAATTGTTTAAATTACCATAAAATGTACATCTCTACCAATCTGAGCTCTTCAACACAAAAATAAAATGAACTACATGTCAACTCAGCAGTGAAACTGACATAACCACAATAAATATTTGGTACACTTCTTGGGTTTGCTTAACACAAAATATTATTTTCCTTTGTCAATTAATACAGCTGCCAAAGTCAATCACTACTTCAAGTTTACTGCAGAAATTCTCTCTCTTTCTAGCTCTCACTAATAGGGAACAAAAGCCATGTAGGTATTAATAACAATGATAAAAATACTGGGGATATCTGAGTAGCTGCGTCATTTGCAAAAAGAAAATAACAAAGACCTTAGTACTAAGCTTGCCATAATTGACATAATGTTACCACAATACCAAGCTGGTCATGAATTTTTTACGTGAGGAGGGTGTGACCTAAGGATAAAACTGGAATTCCATGTGGACTTGTATTTGCTAAGTAAATACAAAATCTTAAAAAAGTGATGGCATTGGAGATTATTTCTTTGATATATAAAATAGTGTAAGTGGTAGCCTCTTACTTCAAATGCAGTTACTTTTCATAACATAAGTCACATTATAAAGATATTCTTAACATTTCGTACAACTGCAGAAGGACACTGGTAATTTTAAACACAAATGGCTTTGTATTCAAAAGTATTTCAAATAAGTAACAGACAACTATTAACACTATAAAAAAGACAATATTGCCATACGCGTTTCAACCTCAAGAGGTCACCATCAGTGGCGTCTGGGAAATCAATTCATTTAACCAAATGGTTCAAACTGGATTTAGAAATAAATAAGGTGTTTCACAAAAAGTTATTTCAAACTATACTGCACTAGATGTTGTTATTCACAGAGTAGAAATATGCACTTAGCGTATGACAATAGTGCCTTTTTTATAGTGTTAATAGTTGTTTGTTACTTATTTGATATTCTAATGCACTACACAGTATGCAAAGTTTTAACAAAAGGATCCTGTTTACATTTTGGGATTTTGTGATCATCTACATTCTCTTAACAGTATTGTCAGGTGGTTCAATATCATGATTGCTGAATTCCTAATTACTTTCCCATCACTCTCATAGTCATCATCTAAGAGCCACAGCATGAAAGAACTTCACAGGCCCCAGAACACTTAGCAAGGTGACATATAGTAATAAGATTATATTATTATATAAACATGTTCTTGTTGTTATAATAAAAACAAAAATATCAGAAACACTGCTGTAATGTGTCTGTCAATATGGCATCTACTGCATGCTGAATTCTGACTTGTAGTTTCTAGAGTTTACGAGTGTTTGAATAAGCTCTGTTCATTGACAGCACCCATACAGAATCCAGTAGGTTTTTGTAGCTTCATAATTCTGAATTATTATTCAACATTACATCACTCTTGTACAGGGCTGAAAAAGGCTTCAGAAACCTGTTTTCTAGATTACAACTGCAGTGTTTCTTTTTTTAATTTGTGACAATTATATTTCATACCCAATCTATTTTTCAAAACATTGTTAAGCAAAGAACCTTTGCATTCAGTGAAGGAACACTTAGTGGTGTATTTAAAGAGGCTGTTTGTAGCTCAGACTGTATAATGTTGAATGTCAGTATGATCAGTAGAGAATGAACTGGGAAGGACATGGAAGGAACCAGTTGTTGCCATATTTAAGGTAATATACTGGCATTTGTGAGGAGGGACTGATAAGTCCTAATAGCTGCTGTA